AACTGTTATTGATACTGCATTCTGAAAACTCGTCGATGAAGGCATCTGCTTGATTTTATTCGAATTTGAGTCTGCCAACGTGTTGAGAATTTTCAGAAGTGATTACTGCTGTTACTTGCTAGTCGGTAACTACCGTGATGAATATTAAGATAATTTGATAAATGTATCATGAGATCGCGATAGACTCTCGTAAAATTTCATGAACAATAAGAGATTCACGATAAAAAAACTGATCCTGTGAAGCAGGTGACTTATTCAAATGCAACTTTTTTCGTGTTGAAGCAAATTCGAGTAGAAACGAACCCTTTCAATGAAGGTGGTTTTATCGGTTATTTGACTAACTTCCAAAATTGCCCATACTGAACCAGCTTGCAGAAGAAATACGAGAATATTTGCAAATATACGTAGGGAAAATTGTAAACAGCTGAAAAACAGCATAGATCATTGATGAATCCCATTATTAGTTAGCAAATGTTATAAGAAGCTAGACGAGCTCATTGTTGATGTGATGGTTCAGTCTTAATGATGACAGGCTATAAATCCAAAACAATTACTTTAGCTAGTATCCTATTACTTTAGCGCTAATTCAACGCATAGTTGGATCGGTGTTGTAACGTGATCAGGATAAACTTAACACCTGTAATTCACGTTCTCAGCAACATGCAGTAGTCATCAAAGACTGAGCGCTATCGAAAGAGCTTGTGTTTAAGTGCTGTATAGAATTGTGTGCGGGTAGGTCAATGAACAAAATTCAAACTCACTCAAATTTCTTCTTCATGTTCACATTATATTCGGCAATAACTTCCTGAAATATTCATGTGAGATGTTAGCTTCGAGAATTACCGATATGAAATGTTGGTGCAACTGACATTCATTTCTCACATATTATAGTCTTTTTTTTGTGAAAACTTGACAATGAACACAATGATAAATAAAGTGTTTAACATGACAATACATGAACAGAGTCAATGAAAATGACAAAATAACCCGAAATTTGTTGACGTTCGCCATTACGACGTTAGTGGCCGTTTCCGGGTTGCCGATCGTGTAATCCCATCCCGTGAATAATTTCCAATTGAAAACGTACTGTTCGGTCTTACCACCTGACAACTTACTATTGCGAGCGTTCGACGCCATTCTACAATAAAACCTCACCATCACCATCAGCTTACTCTAATCAGGAGACTGCTCAAAACGATCGGAATTGCTGGCGTCATCAATGGGTGGTAAAGAAACAAAATTGAATGACCCATCGGGTAAATCTGCGAAGTGTGAATTGCAGCAATGGATTTGTAAACTTTTCAATAACTGGATATCAACCAAGAGTTGTTTTTACAGAAGATATCCCATATAAATATCTCAGCCTCTTTT